ACCCTGCTCCCCTCAGTGTCCATCCGGGGCTCCCCCCAAGTTTCCCTTTCTCTCATTCTCGTTCACGGGTGTGTAGTGCAGACAGGCTCTTCATTTGGCAGATGAAGGCGGGTGAGAGACGGGTGAGTTATCCCGCTCAGAGCCCCCTGGGGTGCGCCTCTTGCAAGGTCAGCTCCCAGACTCAACGAGTTCGTGAAACCGAGGCCAGCATCATGAGCCCCATGGCCTTGGGCAAGTCCCCTCACCTCTCAGAGCGGTACCACGCGTTCCGTGTCCCTCACGGGGCAGTGGCAGAGCCGTCTGGGCGGTGAGGGCGGGGGTGGGGTGCTTCCGACAGCACCAGCAGACGGGCCGGGGCCGGAGGGCCACTGAGTGCACAGGCAGGTGGGTGACGAGTGGGAGACGCTTGACGCAGTGAGAGATCAACCAAAGGATTTGCTTTAAATGGTAATTAAACACTAATATTTTACCGAGTGCTCTTTCCATTCAGTACATTTCCCGCTCACAGCAGCTGAGCGAAGGGCCCCTGCTGGCCTTGGCATCCGTGCTCGTCATCCCGTCCCCTCGGCAGGGAGCGGGTGGGTTTGCCGAGGAGGACACAGCTCAGGCTGTGGGCAGCACTCAGGCCGGTGTCCTCCCTCCCGGCCCCAGCCTTCTCCCCGCCGCCGCCAGCCCAGACAGCACCTGTGGGGACAGGCGGTCAAATGCGGTCTTCAAACCAGTGTCTGCCATGCATTTACCGTACAAAGGGGACGCTGTACAGCTACAGAAGGTGACTCCGGCAGTCAGCACACAGCTGTGCACAGAGCCGAGGGTTGTCCTCTGCCAGAGAGCACATCTGAAACAGAATGTCATGTGGCAAGGTCAACAGCCCTGTCTCGCAGGCTTGCCCAAGGCCTCCGGTCAGCAGTGGGTTCCTGCTGCCGGTAGGACTCGTTAGCCAGGGACTCGTCCTGGGTCAGCCTCCTCTCTGAACAACCGTGCATTTGGGATGCCCTCTGAGCCTTGCATTTCTGTGGCTTACTTTTAGGTTTTTATTTTCGTCTGAGCCAGTTCGACCCTATTTCTTCACTTGTGCTTTTTTCCCCCTGGGCTGGTGATCATGAGTTCCCTCTAAGCTTTCCGACTCAATTCGATAAAATATACCAAGTGTCTGACGTGAGCCAGGCCTTGAACATGGAGTAACAAGTAAGGGAGGGGGTCCCTGCCCCCGGGTAGCTCAGGATCTCCTAGGGAAGAGAAGACTGCCCTCGGATCGCTGTAATCTGTTAGAGTCAAGTTGCGAGACGGGCCCTTGGGTGCCGAGCAGAGGGGAGCATGAGGTCATGCGGACAGCTCCCCGAAGGAGGAGACCACGGAGTTGAGCCTTGAAGATGTGGCAGGTGAATGAGGTGCCCACACAGACAGCCAGCTGGGAAGTAGGCATGCGATCGGCTGGGCCCGGGGAGCAGATGCCAGTGGAGGTGGGTCCAGGAGAAGCGGCTGCGGGCGGCAGGGCTGGAATCTCGTTTGATGGAGCTTGCACCTGACCCCGTGAGGTTCAGACTTATGTTTCCAGAGATCACGTAGGCTGTGATGTCAGTATGGCAGACAGGTAGGGAGAGACGGGAGAGAGCAGAGGCAGAGGGTCCCGCGGGAGAGCAAGGCCTCAGTCCGGGAGGGAGGCGCTAGGGCAGCCACGTGGGCTCGGAGAGGCGGGCGGATTCCGTCGGGGTCTCAGACAAAGCAGCAAAGGGGCTCTGTAACTAACGAGACGTTGGGTGGAGAAGGCGGAGCTGGGTCCCACCCGCGCCCTCACCTGGATCCTGGGGCTGGGGTGTGGCGGGAGGTAACTGTGGCGTAGGAGACGCTGTGTGGCCTCCGCCGTGGCTTTCGATTGCACCACGCAGGGAACCATTGCCACGAACTTGGCACCGGGACGGACAGGCATGGTGACCAGCCACCCAGTGCCCCCATCCTGAGGCTTCCCCACTGCAGAGCCACCTACAGTGGGCTGGACCAGAGGTCCCCAAGGGGTCCTGGCCAGTTCTGGAGGAGAGGTCCTCCTCGTCCCTCCTTCCTCCCTCTGCCAGGGCCAGCCTTGACCGATGGGCGGAAGGAATAGGCTAGGAGTAAAGACAGTGGGACTCTCATGTCTGCCGCAGACCCCCGTGTGACACTGGACAGACCCCTTCTGGGCCCAGCTCTAAGACAAAGGGTGGGCCGGTAGTTCCCAATGTTCAGGACCCTCATGGCTCAACACACATCGCCATTTCCTTAGTTTAAGAGAGATGGAAGGCTTCATTCAGCCACGTATTGTTTCTGCTCCGTGCTGTCGAAAATTATGTCTTCTGGTTTTGAAATATGTCTCAAGTGCAGGGAGCAGAGTCCGTGGGAGCAGTGAGGGGTCCTGTCAACTTTCCCCACCTCGGGGGGAACAGGCTGGCTTCAGGGGTTGGGCAGAGTCCAGCCCAGCAGGCAGGAGGAGGAGGGACCCACGCAGAACCCCCACAGACCACCGTGTAGGCAGCTGGCTGCCCTCTGGGGTCCCGCTAAAGGGGTGAGGTGCAGTTCCAGTGACCCAGGCCAAGCCAGCAGGTGCAGAGGCCTTTGACGCCGTCGCCCAGGAGTTGTAAGACCTCGGTCCTAGGGCGGGGCCTGGCCAGGCTAAGGGTGGGTTCCAGTCCTCAGCCCAGGTGCTGGACGGGGGCTCCAGGACGGGCCGAGCCCCCGGAAGAGGGCAGACTCCCATTCAGGTTATGGGCTCAGCAGCGCAGACCAGGTCAGAACACAGCCAGCATCCCATTGTCCAACCTGGGGCCGGAGGCCTGGGCCACGCCAGCAGCAGAGGGCTCAGGCCTGAGCCCCAGAATGCGGGCTAAGATGTCTTGACTCTCCTGCCTCGGCCAGGATGCGCGGGTGGGGCACAGAGCTTTGGTTCGCGGTTGGGGGACACCTGTCCACAGTGTGGACGCCGGGTGCTCACGGTTCTTCGGGCAGCATGCCAGCCTGTCTTTCCGTCTCTGTTCTTCGTCCCCCAAGCTGGCCTCAGCCCACCCCACCGCCCCCGCAGCGTGACTGAGTTTAAGAAAGTGGTGTTTTGCGAATAGTTGGAATCCGGCTTAGCCGTCTGCGGTCTGAGACCCTGACGAGCCGCTTTCCCTCTCTGGGCTGTTTCGTCACCTGCTACAGCCCCCGGTGGGAGCCACGTTCTAAGGTCCTGAGAATTAAAGTAAGCGAGGGGAGCGCCTTGCCGCCACCGTGACGCGGCGGTCCCGTGTCCTGGCTCTGGTTTCCTGAGAACGGGGAGGGGGCGCCCCGAGACCTGGGCCTGGCGAAGCAGGAGAGAAAAGGGCTTGCTCCTCGGGACTCTTTTTCCTTAACGGGAACGTGTATTCTCTTTATTGAACTTTCGAAACGTTCTAACGTCTGTTAGACTGAACGTATGTTACATGTGATTTATAGTTAGAAAAACCAGTTTTTAAAAAGTACATATTTACATGTGAAAACAGAATGTATTGAAGGACATTTACTCCGTGCTTACTACGTGCCAGGCCACCATGCCAGGCATTTATGTTAGTCACGTCTCTGAAAAGTCCACAGGCATCTTCTCCCCTGCCCGTCCCCAGAGAGCAGTGGGAGGCGTTGAGCAAGGACCAGGTCAGGCAGGTCCACCCGAGGAAGTTTTCCTTGAGTGCTGGGAGGCCCTCCCCTCCCACAAAGCAGTTGGCCAGGACAGCAGGGTCAGAAACGGCCGGGCATGGAAGCGAACTCCAGGCGGGCAAAGGGCTGGCGAGCTTAGGAAGGGGTCCCACCCACGTGTGCCACACCGGGCGGCGCGTCGAGGGCCTTTGTGGCTGGGCAGATTGGGGCCTCAGTGTAGGAGAGCGCTCACTCACTCGGGAGGGAGTGGCTTCCGTCACTGGGAGTCCCTGCCTGGGGGCACCCAGGGTTCCCGTGCTGGGCGGGAGGCTATGCTGGAACCAGACGGCCTGTTTTAGCTCTGAGATGCTGTCACGCTATCCCGCCCGCCTGCTGGATGCAGGGCACAGTCTGCTCACCCCTCCTTTGCCCGGAGCCCCTGTGAGAGAGGCTGTCTGCACATCGTGGGTTTCCTTGTAGGCTGAGTGGTGCTGTCACCTCCTCTTGGAAGGAGACAAAGCCCTTGTCCCATCTAGCCAGCAAGGCATGAGACCGGCTTGCCCAGCCCCTCCCCCATCACTGTGACTCTCCGTGGTTCCCCAGTGACACCTAAGCTGGCTAAGAGCAGGGACAATCAGCTCCTTCTCAGGTTGGGACAGAAGCCTGGCTTTTCTTGTGACTGTGGCACAGCACCAGCCCCATATGGATGCGGGTTCCCCGGGCAGGCATCGCCCGCTCTGGGCCTTGCTTTCGGGGTCCAGGGCGAGGGTGTGGCCTGGAAGGCTCCACGGTGGCTGTCAGTGACAGCCTCTGCCATCTGTGCTTCCGCCAGCTCCCTCCCACCCACAGCCGCAGGCTCCTAGGTCCAGGCAGGAGGGCATCGCAGCACCCTGAGGCTCACGGGCCGTGGCTCAGGCAGACTGGGGGCCGATGCCCAGCTCTGACACGTCCAGCTGTAAGGGTCGTCCCTTTGCTTGAAAAGTGGAATGAAATGGGTCTACTCTCCGGGTCCAGGAACGCCGAGGCCACTGGTGATTTTCGTCACAGCTCCGTGGGGTGTGCGGAGGCCGGAGCCAGATGTTAGAGGGTCGAGGGCGCAGTGGCGGGCGAGGAACGGGAAACAGCGAGCGAGTTCGGGAGGGGAGAGAACGGCTCAGGAGCCGAAAGTGAAAATGTGATGCGTTTATTGGCTCCGAGGGATGAGCCACAGAGGAGAGGACACAATGGGAACAGGTGTGACAGGGATGAGAACCGGCTGTTACCAAGTCCAGGACGTCTCATGGGACCGGGAGGGTAGGGACGGGTCCTCGTTTCCAGGTGTTTGACAGGGCCTTTCTTCTCCACTAACCATCACGCTCCTGTGCTTCTGTGCCCCACAGGTCCCTCCACCCAGCGTCAGGTGCAGAATGGCCCTTCTCCTGATGAGATGGACATCCAGAGAAGGTAACCCCGCCGCCCGCCCCCCACCCAGCAGGGGCAGCCTTCGGCAAGCAGAGGACACACCTGCAGCCAGGGCCAGTGGGGCACACAGTGGGGCAAGGGGACAGGCCTGAGCAGAAGGGAGAAGGGGCGAGCTCATTGCTGCCGCCAGAGCGGTGTCGGGGTCTGGTTCCAGAGAGACAGAGGGCACTGCTGGCTCAGTCGTGCAGGCCTCGTGGCGGACCTGGCCGTGGCCTGACTGCTGCTCTCGCGGTTAATCAGCCTTCCCAGGTGTCAGGGCGTGGAGGGATTCAGTAACACGGTCCAGGCCACGCTGCTGGCCTTGGCCCCGTCCTGTGCCGCCGTCCTTCACTCTGGCTGAGGGCCTCGTGTCACCTCGCCTTGCCACTCCCACCAGAGACTCTGGGTGGGTGCCATGGCCTTTCTAGAGGGCTTGGCCCCCCGCTGGCACACCTGCCAGCGAGGTGAAAGCGACAGACACCCTGAGAGGGTAGTGGGAGCCAGGGCCATGCTGGCGTCCGTGCTGGGCTGGCACGTGCTCCCAAAGGGCGAGGCCCTGGGCGACGCCCACCCCTCCAGCAGCTTCTGCAGTGGTCCAGCTGCTGTCCCAAAGTCACAGAAGAGGTCGCGGTGGCCAAGGAAGGGGCGGCCTCCCCGGCACGTTGCCGGGAAAGGCGGGACCCAGGCTCGAACCCACCGCCATCGCCCTACAGGGTGCTGCGTCTTCGTGAGGCTTCACGGCCCGGCCCTGTGGGAGCTGCGCCACGGAAGCAGGCCTAGCCCAGCCATGCTCACCCACGGGACAGGAAGGGCAGCAACTCCAGGGGCCTGCAGCTAGACAGCAGTAGGGCCCAGGGCAGGGGGTGGGAGGTGATGTCCCCACCCCTACCCGGCCATGAGGCTCCCCTCCCTCGCCCAGAGGAATGAACGATCTCTGAGCACCTCTGGCTGAGTGTACTCAAAACCCTGGGCAGGTCACCAGGCCTCAGGTTCCCAGTTTGAACGTGGCGGTGCTGATCTTTGCTCTGCTTCTCTGAAGCACTGAGGGAGAGACCGGACTGTCCTCCCAGAGTCCCGTGTCCTAACTCCATCGCGTTTACTGACTCCGCAGGCCTGACTTCCACCCTCCCAGCGACGGGGCACTTTACCTTTACACGCTGCCCCGTTTTAACCCTCGGGGCTTGTTACGACCACCACTTCTCACCGAGCCAGCCGAAGCTCGGGAGTGGAAGGACTTGCTCAAAGTAGCCAGGAGTTAGAGGCAGAACCAGGACTGGCTGCCTAGTCTGGCCCCCGCTCAGCACTCTGCCAGGTCCCAGGGCTGCCTCGGCCCAGAGAAGGACGTGAGTGAGCCCTGCCAGACCGAAGAATGACTGACAGGGGCCCGTGCGTCCTGTACAGGTTCTTCCGTGGCTCCCTCGGAACTGGTTAAACAGCACACTGCATTACCCTAGCCCACCACCCAAAGCAGGCTGTGAGAGGCCGCTGGCTGCAACCTGCCAGAGCGCCCCTGGAGGTCAGTCTGAGAACTGCAGGAGTCCAACCCCAGAGCTGGGACCCTGCTTATCCCTGCTTACCCTGCCGGTCATCTAACACAGAGGGAGGCCCAGCAGGGAGATGGCTGGCGCGGGGCGACAGCAACCTCGTGACCCCAAGCACAGGAACCTTCTTGTTTTCACACAAACAGTATCAAAAGTTTACACCCAATCACTAAATATTTCCAGACGTCCTCATTCTGCTGAGGGCTTCTGAGCATCTGGATCCTGCTGGGGAGATTGGAGTTCTGGGTGACATTTCGGCAGTTGGGCTGGAGACGCTGGCCCAGGTGCCGCTGAGAGCTCCACAAACACCTTTACTGCCCGAGCATCTTTTTTTGGGCATCAGGCATAATTCTTACCAGAACTCCACGGAACAGGTGTCGTTACACTTATTTTATGGAGAAGAATCCGAGGCCCAGGAGAGGGGTGTGACTCGCCCACGCCTGGAATCCCAGGACGGGACCAGAGAGCTCTCCACTTCCAAATGAAGTGTGGTCCCGTTTGACCTTCCTCTAGGTGGAAGCAGCTGGATGAGATAGATGTGTCATTGTCCCCTCACAGAGCACTTGCTGAGTGGCTGCTGCGTGCCAGAGCCGGTGCCAGGTACCAGACAGTGCCAGCTCACTGTACCCCAGGGGTGCAGACTCATGGCTTGCAACCACACACTGCCAGCTGCCCTGCCCACCCTCCCTGGCATGCAGAGGCTGCTGCTGGCTTCCAGCATGCTCGCCCCTGAGCCAGGGTGGGTGTCAGGACACCCCTCGACCCCATGTCACACGAGCAGGCATTTCGAGCTGGCACCACACACGTGAGACCTGCTGCCATCCTTGATCTACACGATCCCTCAAGCCCCCTTCTGCGCCAGCGTCTCTGTCCCAGATTCAGTGGCTGTATTTGCAAGTCAGTGTCCTCAGTCACCGGAGCTTCATGAGCACCCCAAGGCCACTTTGCCATAAGGAGCTAGGATGTTAGTCCCCACCAAGGCACACATCACGCTGCATCGCAGCATACCAAATGACTGGCCGCCATGCGGGTCTGCGGTGAAGGGTGAAGACGTGCCACCTTAGCGTCCACTTCTCCTGACAACCAGCAATGCCTGGAAACTTCCAGGGCACTGAGCCAGGTGTAATAAGAACAGGAAATCTGAGGTCGGGTCTGCTGAGGCCACAGGCCCGCAAAAGCCTGGGGAGCCCATGCAGCCAAGGGAGAAGCTTGCGCACTCAGCCAGCTGGTCACCTGGGCCTTCGTGAGGGGCTCCCTGTTCAGGTGTGCCCCTGAGCTCACCTGGGTAGGGACCTGGAACCAGTCATGTGCCCTGCCTCTGTTAACTGGGGCAGCGAGCCCAGTGGCAGTCAGCCAGAGGCAGGGTGCGGGGGCTCACTGCTGAGCACCCCCAGCCCAGGGCCCACAATGGGCTCTCACGGAGTGCCCACTCCGACGAAACCCGACCCTGCAGCCTGCGCTCCAAGGACACAGAGCCACGTTGTTCCGGCTCTGAGCAGTCGGACCTGCCCGCCTTTTGTTGCTTTGCAGACAAGTGATGGAGCAGCAGCAGCACCAGCAGCAGCGCCAGGAGTCTCTGGAGAGAAGAACCTCGGCTACAGGTGAGAGACCTCGCCAGGCCTGCTTCCCTTACCTGTGCCCGGTGGGCAGCCCCCTCACTCAGATGGTGCCGGAGACACGTTGGGCCCTCCGCGAAGAGCCAGTGGTTGCGTAGGTCTGAAAGTCACATTTGATGAAAGTGGGGGGACGAGGGAACGAGGGGGAATTAGCTCAGCTTGGTCCGGCCCCTCCCTCCCAGCCTCTGCCATTCATTCCCTGAGCGCACGCCACGTCACAAGCACTACGTCAAGGGCTAGGGACACAGCAGTGGACAAGGCAGGTGCAGGCCTGCCCTAGGGAGCTCGTTGTCTAGTCAAGGAGTGAATGACAATCAGTGATCACACCTGGTGACCAGGTGCAGGGTGTATAGGCACACGGCACAGGGTCCGACCGCCCCGGGGGTCAGAGCACACCCCCAAGGAAGTATTGCTTCAGTCCTGGACATTGGCTGGCGCTCCACGTGGAGACGCAGAAAGGTTATCTGGAAAACTACGTAGGCCGGTGAGTCGGGAGTTTGTGCTCACGGAGCTTCCCTATCCTTTCTCTCGCTTAATCCTCTCAGACACTCTGAAGGAAACAGGTGACTGTCATCCTGTGGCCCCTAGCACCCCCTCTCAGACTGCCGTGGGCACCCCCTCTGGGCCCACCCTCTGCAACTCTAGTGCAGGTCTGACCCTGTCGCCCCTTCTCCATCTCTGCTGAACAACCCGGGTGCCTGAGGGCTCCCTTCCCGGCCTCGCCCTGATCCCGCAGCACCTCCAGCTCCTCCCACCGCTTCCTGCCCCTCACCCACTCCCGCCCCTAGACGTGAGTCCCGCTCTGCTGTCACTTGCCTAAGGAGTATGTCCGAGCCCTCGTCAACCCGCCACCTGCACGATTGGTGACCACGTCCCCCTTAGGCCACGAGCCCTGCGAGCAGAGAAGCGGTGGCCGACTTTTCCCAGGCACAGGGGGCTCCATCAGTGTTGGATAGAGGGGAGATTGGGGGGCAGGGGATGGCCCAGCATTCAGCACTGCTCCCTGACACATGCCCTGGTCAGCCCTGCAACCCCCAGTTACCTGCCACAGCCCCCAGAGGCTGAGGGTCAGTGAGCAGCATCTCAGGGACCGACGTCTGCCGACGCCTAGGAGGGCGCCGCATATGGGCAGGAACGGAAGAGGAGGTCGCAGCGGTCTTCCTGTCCCGCCAGAAGCCCGTGGTTGGGGCGGAAGAGAGGCAGCTGAGCGCGAGGGATGCTAAGCAAGTGTGTGGCGTGCGTGTCCCGCCAGGCCGCAGGCAGCCTGGGGAGTGGCGGGGAGTGGCGGGGCCAGGCTGCCGCTGCCCCTCCTGCCCCAGGGAGGCGCCGCTGGGGCCCGAGAGCTGACCGCGCCTCACTGTTGCGTTTCAGGGCCCATCCT